CACAGTATTACTCATACTCAGACTTACTCATACCCAAACGTACACATACACAGACTTTCTCATACACAGACCTACTCATACCCAGACATACTCATACACATACTTACTCATACACAGACTTACTCATACTCAGGCATACTCATACTCAGACCTACTCATACTCAGACTTACTCAACACACATCAGATTTGGAGGATGTCTCAAGCGGGGCGCTGGTTTCAGCACCCCTAAGGGGAGCCGCCAGGGGTGGTTGCACGGGCTGGTTCGCGGCCATTTTGTTGTGATGTCTCAGGCGGTTTGCCTGTTTCCGGGCTCAACATCCTTCGCTTGGAGAGCAGATTGTGAGGATGTCTCAGGCGGGGCGCTGGTTTCAGCACCCCTAAGGGGAGCCGCCAGGGGTGGTTGCACGGGCTCGTTCGCGGCCATTTTGTGGGGATGTCTCAGGCGGTTTGCTTGTTTCTGGGCCCAACATCCTTCGCTTGGAGAGCAGATTGTGAGGATGTCTCAGGCGGGGCGCTGGTTTCAGCACCCCTAAGGGGAGCCGCCAGGGGTGGTTGCACGGGCTCGTTCGCGGCCATTTTGTGGGGATGTCTCAGGCGGTTTGCTTGTTTCTGGGCCCAACATCCTTCGCTTGGAGAGCAGATTGTGAGGATGTCTCAGGCGGGGCGCTGGTTTCAGCACCCCTAAGGGGAGCCGCCAGGGGTGGTTGCACGGGCTCGTTCGCGGCCATTTTGTGGGGATGTCTCAGGCGGTTTGCTTGTTTCTGGGCCCAACATCCTTCGCTTGGAGAGCAGATTGTGAGGATGTCTCAGGCGGGGCGCTGGTTTCAGCACCCCTAAGGGGAGCCGCCAGGGGTGGTTGCACGGGCTCGTTCGCGGCCATTTTGTGGGGATGTCTCAGGCGGTTTGCTTGTTTCTGGGCTCAACATCCTTCGCTTGGAGAGCAGATTGTGAGGATGTCTCAGGCGGGGCGCTGGTTTCAGCACCCCTAAGGGGAGCCGCCAGGGGTGGTTGCACGGGCTCGTTCGCTGCCATTTTGTGGGGATGTCTCAGGCGGTTTGCTTGTTTCTGGGCCCAACATCCTTCGCTTGGAGAGCAGATTGTGAGGATGTCTCAGGCGGGGCGCTGGTTTCAGCACCCCTAAGGGGAGCCGCCAGGGGTGGTTGCACGGGCTCGTTCGCGGCCATTTTGTGGGGATGTCTCCGGCGGTTTGCATGTTTCCGGGCTCAACATCCTTCGCTTGGAGAGCAGATTGTGAGGATGTCTCAGGCGGGGCGCTGGTTTCAGCACCCCTAAGGGGAGCCGCCAGGGGTGGTTGCACGGGCTCGTTCGCGGCCATTTTGTGGGGATGTCTCAGGCGGTTTGCTTGTTTCTGGGCTCAACATCCTTCGCTTGGAGAGCAGATTGTGACGATGTCTCAAGCGGGGCGCTGGTTGCAGCACCCCTATGGGGAGCCGCCAGGGGTGGTTGCACGGGCACGTTCGCGGCCATATTGTGGGGATGTCTCAGGCGGTTCGCTTGTTTCTGGGCTCAACAGGGAGGGAAATGACAGGAACGAGGATGAGGAGGAGGAACAGGAGGAGGAGGAGGAGGCGGGGGATCGTGAGGAAGGGCATGGGGGTGCGGAGGGGGAGGGGGAGCAGGAGGATGAGGAGGAGGAGCAGGAGCAGGAGAAGGGAGGGGGCGGAGGAACAGGAGGAGGGAGGAGGAGGAGGAGGGCGCTTTGCTCGAAGGTCCTTGACGCGAGCAGAACGTTTGTTCCGAAGTCCAGGACATATATATATATATATATATATATATGTATTCATAGGGGGTGACTGCGAGGGGGGGGGCGGTGGTTGTGTGCGGGGATCGTTGGAAATGCTCACCGTGGCACTATCCTCCAACATGACATGCACTTATGGCCTTGTGTGGCTAAACGCTCGTCTTACATATCCCACTGCCAACTATCCTACAACATATGCACATGTGGGAAGCTCCAAAGCTACCACGGGCTGAAAAGGGGAAGGCCTGGCAGCTGAGGAGGGGGGATGAAGAGGAAGAGGCTCGCATTCAACCATACTCAAAGCTCACTCTGACTCATACGCAATCACTCGCATTAGGGGTCACTCGTCTTCGTCGGCCCTGTCGCCCACGTGGACGCGCTATTGTAGTCGACCGCTCATGAACAGACGCTCGCCACGGCATGACATAAAACATGATCCTGGCGAAGGACCCAACCATATGCAAACGTGAATACCGCAGGGCAGGTGGGACGAAGCAACATGAATTCCCAATATGGCCACGAACCGTGTGGGGTGCGTCACACTGGGGCGGGGCCGCCATGCGAACCCTGCCACTGATGCCTTCGGTGGAGCTCCCTATGTCCCTGCGGGGCCACGAACCGTGTGAGGGGTGCGCCAATATGGGGCGGGGCCGCCATGCGAACCCTGCCACTGGGGCCTTCGGTGGAGCTCCCTATGGGGCCACGAACCGTGTGAGGGGTGCGCCAAAATGAGGCGGGGCCGCCATGCGAACCCTGCCACTGGGGCCTTCGGTGGAGCTCCCTATGGGGCCACGAACCGTGTGAGGGGTGCGCCAAAATGAGGCGGGGCCGCCATGCGAACCCTGCCACTGAGGCCTTCGGTGGAGCTCCCTATGGGGCCACGAACCGTGTGAGGGGTGCGCCAAAATGGGCGGGGCCGCCATGCGAACCCTGCCACTGGGGCCTTCGGTGGAGCTCCCTATGGGGCCACGAACCGTGTGAGGGTTGCGCCAAAATGGGGCGGGGCCGCCATGCGAACCCTGCCACTGGGGCCTTCGGTGGAGCTCCCTATGGGGCCACGATCCGTGTGAGGGGTGCGCCAAAATGAGGCGGGGCCGCCATGCGAACCCTGCCACTGGGGCCTTCGGTGGAGCTCCCTATGGGGCCACGAACCGTGTGAGGGGTGCGCCAAAATGGGCGGGGCCGCCATGCGAACCCTGCCACTGGGCCTTCGGTGGAGCTCCCTATGGGGCCACGAACCGTGTGAGGGGTGCGCCAAAATGGGCGGGGCCGCCATGCGAACCCTGCCACTGGGGCCTTCGGTGGAGCTCCCTATGGGGCCACGAACCGTGTGAGGGGTGCGCCAAAATGGGGCGGGGCCGCCATGCGAACCCTGCCACTGGGGCCTTCGGTGGAGCTCCCTATGGGGCCACGAACCGTGTGAGGGGTGCGCCAAAATGAGGCGGGGCCGCCATGCGAACCCTGCCACTGAGGCCTTTAGTGGAGCTCCCTATGGGGCCACGAACCGTGTGAGGGGTGCGCCAAAATGGGCGGGGCCGCCATGCGAACCCTGCCACTGGGGCCTTCGGTGGAGCTCCCTATGGGGCCACGAACCGTGTGAGGGGTGCGCCAAAATGGGGCGGGGCCGCCATGCGAACCCTGCCACTGGGGGCTTCGGTGGAGCTCCCTATGGGGCCACGAACCGTGTGATGGGTGTGCCGAAATAGAGGCATGCGGAGGGTGATGGTGATGATGACGACCATGTTGGTGCTGATGATGATGACGATGACGATGATGATGATGATGATGATGGGTGATGACGATGATGCTGATGATGATGAGACGAGGAGGGAGGAGGCAGCGGGAGGAGGAGGAAGGAGGAAGGAACGCGGGGCACCGTCTCTTCAAAACGAGGACCCAACACCACAGGATGGTTGGGAATGAGATGCGCATATGGGGAGCTCCACGCAGTGAGTAATTTGAGCGCCCACAGACGGCCTCGGTCCCATGGGAGCCCTGCGTCGGGCAATTCCTTACTCTCAAGGCGAGTGTTGTGCTTCCCTCGCGCGCAGCCTGGCCATGCCCACCCCTTGCGAGCATCCTGCTAGGCAAAGTGCGGGGCCTAATCGGGACAGCAAGAGGCAGCGCCGCCCTAGGCTGAGACGTCTTTCCTCCTCCGCTGCCGCTGCCGCCGCCCCCCACCCCCTCTCCTCGCCTCAAGCGGAGCGAGAGACAAAGGGCGAGGATTTATTCCACCAGCGATGGGAAGCCCTGGGGCCCCAGGGGTGGTCGCATCTTCCCTTTGACCCAGGCCGGCCCTCCGTCAATTTGGCTCATCTGTCCGCCTCTGAGGTTGGGCCCCCTTGTGGGGCTGCTGACTGCGCGACGCCGAGTGCTGCTGGGGGTGCCCATCGTCTGGCGGCTCCTGGCTCCTCAGAGGCGGGCCCATTCGAGGAGCTCGACGGCCTGGGCGGCTGGGGGGCCTGGAAGACCTCGATGGCCCCCCCCCCAGGCGAGGAGGTCAACGCTGAACCAGAGATACTCACTGCGCTCTCCCAAGCTGAGCGGTTCCTGGAGGGCCCCCCCTGAAGATTCTCAGCGGGCCCGCTGCGCCGCGTGATGAGCCAGTTCAAAACCCCTCCTCATCCTCAGAGTGCCTGCGAAGGCCCCATCATAAACACCATCAGTATCGTCTCTCAGCAACATCATCACCGCCACTATCATCATCACTATTACAATCATCATAATCACCGCCATTATGAACACTCTCACAACCACCACCGTCGTCGTCATCATAAGCATCGCCACCACCGTCGTTATCATTACCATCGTCATCATCATCGCCATCATCATCATCATCATCACCGTCACCATCACCGTCACCATGATCACCATCGCCATCATCACCATCGTTATCATCGTTATCACCGTCATCATACTCTTCCTCTTCCTCCTCTTTCTCCTTCTCATCATCTTCATCATCTTTTTCTCCATCATCATCATCATCATCATCATCATCATCATCATCATCATCATCATCATCATCATCATCATCATCATCATCATCATCATCATCGTAATCATCACCATCATCATCACCATCATAATCATCATCATAATCTTCCTCCCTCTCCCCTCCTTCTCCGCCTTTCTCCCCAGCCCTCTTCCCGCCCCCGTGCCCCCCCTCCCTCTCGAACCTCCCCCCCCTTCTCAGCCCCCCCCCTCTCCCGACCCCCCCAATCCCGTCGGCCCCCCCAGGGCGGAGGCGGCAAGGTCGACCGCGCGTCGCCGCTGATGATCAACCTCACGCCGGGGCTGTTGCAAGCGGCGGGGCCTTTTGGGGGGGGGGCGTAGGGGCCCCGAGCTGCCATTGCAAGGATTTTTCTAACGTCCACCGCTTGGGGGTCCGATGTCTAGGGCAAAACTGTCGATGCTCGAGGGTTGGGCTTTGTTCGGACCTCTGGTGGGGGCCTCCAGGGACCTTCGGGGGCCTGCAGAGTCTTCTGGGGACCGAGAGGCCGCTTGGCGGAAGGGGGGAGGAGGAGAGGAGGGGAGGGCGCGGGCGAGGGGAGGGTGCTCGAAGGGCGAGGGACGAGGGACGACGGGTGGGGCAATGAAGGGGCGAGGGGCGGGGGAAGGGGAGGGGAGGGGGAGGGAGGGGCGAGGGACGACGGACGCTGGGGAGGGACGACAGACGGGAGGAGGGTGAGGGGGGGGGGAGGGGATTTCGATGGGCGATGGGCGATGGCGGAACGGGGGAGGAGAAGGGGAGGGGCAGGTGGCGCTTGTAGTGCCCTGGGCCCGGCCCCATCCATGGGCCCCATTCATCGGGTGGCTCGCTGGTAGTTGCAGCAGGGCCTGTCAAACCTAGCAGCCAGTGGGCAGCAGAAACTGAATTTGCGAGATCGCCGATCATCGAGGTGCCGTCACAGACAAGGAGCGGGGAGGCGAGCGAGGAACGGGGGAGGAGGAAGGAGGGCTGTGTCGAGAGGGGGAAGGGGGACGGGGAGGGCAAGGAAGGGGGGAGGAGGAAGGGGGAGGGGGAAGGGGTCTCGGGATGGCGGTCGCGGCAGGGGCCCCGCGTGCCTGCGTGCGCGCGCGTACTGGCCTGCGCCGCGCAGGCACGCGCGCGCACGAGTATGCGTGCGCGTGGACGCTCCTGGGCGCGTGCGCGCGCGCCTTTGTCCGCTGCTTCCTCTTTATGGTATCGGCAGGGTGGCGCTGAAGGGGGGGAGGTGCTCTGCTTCACCAACCAGCTGCCTGAGACCACCGACACAAAGACAGACGACGAGGCGCCGTCATGCTTGGGTATTCTGCCGGGGTGCTATTTGGCGGGGAGGCTGAATTGCAGTAGTGGAGGTGGTGGTGGTGCATGTAGAAGATGGAGGAGGATGAGGAGGAGGAAGATGAAAAGGAGGAGGAGGAGGAAGAGGAGGGGCAGGGGGAAGGGAGAGCGCGGAGGAGAAGGATGCAGCAGGTAGATAGGTGAGCCAAGCTCTCTCTTTGCCTGTCGCCGAGGTTAGCGGCAGCCAGCGCAAAAGCCAGGATGATAACGCGGAGGTGGAGGAAGATGGGGAGTAGGAGGAGTAGGATGAGGACGACGAGGGATGATGACGATGGTGATGATGATGATGATGATGATGATGATGATGATGATGATGATGATGATGATGGTGATGATGCTGATGATGATGATGATGATGATGATGATGATGATGATGTTGCTACTGATGATGGTGCTGATGGTGATGATGCTGATGCTGATGCTGATGATGCTGCTGCTGATGCTGATGCTGATGATGATGGCGGTGATGGTGCTAATGATGATGTTGCTGATGATGACGATGGTGAGGATGATGAGGATATAATATGCTGATGATGATGGTGATGCTGACGATGACGATGATGATGCTGATTATGACGATGATGGCGATGCTGATGCTGATGATGATAATGATGATGCTGATTATGATGATGATGATGCTGGTGATGCTGATGATGATGATGATGCTGATTATACGATGATGATGCTGCTGCTGCCGATGATGTTGATGAGGCTAATGATGCCAATGATGATGCTGATGCTGATGCTGATGTTGATGATGATGACGCTGATGATGATGATGATGATGACCATGAGGATGATGATGACGATGCTGATGATGATGACGATGATGATGGTGATGATGATGCTGATGATGATGAAGCAGCTGATGATGCTGATGATGATGCTGATGATGCTGCTGCTGATTATGATGATGATGCTGCTGCTGCTGATGATGATGATGATGCTGGCGATGATGATGATGATGATGATGATGATGATGATGATGATGATGATGATGCTGATGATGATGATGATGATGATGCTGATGCTCATGATGATGATGATGATGATGATGATGCTGCTGCTGCTGATGATGATGTGATGATGATGATGATGATGATGGTGATGGTGATGATGATGATGATGATGATGATGATGATGATGATGATGATGTGATGCTGATGCTGATGCTGATGCTGATGATGATGATGATGATTATGATGATGATGATGATGATGATGATGATGATGATGTGCTGATTATGATTGATGATGATGATGATGATGATGATGATGATGATGATGATGATGATGATGATGATGATGATGATGATGAGGAGGAGGAGGAGGAGGAGGAGGAGGAGGAGGAGGAGGAGGAGGAGGAGCAGTTTAAACCCAAGAGTCATCAACGATGTTTGAGTAAACCCTCCCTCCCAGCTCCTTCTTCATAGGCCCCTACAACGGTTAATTTCCATTGACGGAAATGCCTCGTTGGAAGACGACTCTGAAGCATGCCAAAGCATGGTTCTCGGGGTTCCAACGCCACGGATCAATCTGACTGTTGCGTCTTGACGATCCTGACTCGTGCCCGAAGGCCATTCCTAGGACTTCGATACAGAGAATCAACGTAAGTGTCACCCGCGTAGTCCTGAATCCTTAGAAAACACCAGTTCTGGTACGTTGAAACTCCTGCAATGTTTAAAGCGAATGTGCGCGGCGCTAAGGCGAGAGCCACGTTTTGAAAACCACCCTCCCTCAATCCGCGAAGCTCCTGCAATTTTTTAAACGAATGTGCGCGGCGCTAAGGCGAGAGCACATTTTGAAAACGACCCGTCCTCCATGCAGGCGATTCGCCCGGCCCGCCCTAAAAATTGGCCTCGGGGTGCGACAGGGAGAAGTTATGTATAGTGAAAAGGAGCGGAGGAGGAGGAGGAGGAGGAGGAGGAGGAGGAGGAGGAGGAGGAGGAGGGGGAGGAGGAAAAGGAAGGGGATTCTAATGTTCTGGGGTTCTAGGTTGGCCTCGCGCGACATCCCAAGGGTGCGTGAGGTCCTGGCAGAAAGACGATCGACGGCTCCGGCACGACGGCGACGACGAGCGGCGACGGCGAGGACGAGCATGACAGACGAACGAGCGCAGCGACGACGGACACGTGCGTGACGGGCCTCCTCGAAAGTAGAGCTGATGCCGTTGACCTTGATCTTGCTCTTGAGCTGGCAAGGAGCAGGTGTCGCGCAATGCTCAAAAATCAACAACAGCTCATGAACGAGGGTGGAGAACAGCAACACCGGAAGAACGCTGAGCATCAGCATCAGATGCCTTTCGGCGGAGGTGACTTGCAGCCTCTTCGCGCTCATGGCGGGCACGCAGTACGTCGCCGTCAGTAGCTAACGGAACTAGGCCGTTCTCATGAATGTCCTTGCCTTGCTCTTGCCTTGGAGCCTGCCCTCAGAAAGTCCCAGCAGTCCTGGAACATCAGCGGCCAGATCGCGCCCACCGTCCCGAGGCACCATGCCAGACTCGGAATCTGTCACCCCGTCTTTTTTCTAGCACTTGCCCTTGCCCATGCAACGTCCCGGATGAGTGGCACCACCAGCACGATCATGATTCTCAGGAGCCGCCGAAGGGAGAGCAGCATCACGACGAACCCCCTCCCATGAGCTCGTGGGCAGGACGCCCTTCAGTAACTCCCTGGATCCAGAACGCCGCCGCCGAGGCGTCAACCAACCGCGGTGGGGCGGTCGCCCCCGCGCCGAAGAGTTCAGTCGGGCATGCCCCTCTACAGGAGGAATATTGCATAATGGTCGAACAACAGTATGGTGACGATGTTTCGTGCTCTTTTGATTGTTTTTGTGCCATGTTTTGTTGTTGACTAGACTATTTTCCCTTTTTCTTCCAAAATCCACCTGTAGGAGGACATGCCCGACCTATTGCCAGAGGGTGGGAGGTTCGATTCGATTCGAGCAAGCCGACCGCAGTCATACTTCAGCCGTGGGACGCCACGTGGCACCCGGGCCCCACACGAACAGAAAAGAAAGCACGCGCCTGGAAGCGTTCGACGGATCACCCCCCCCGCTTGTGTAGACCTCGTCTCTCTCCGTCCAGCTTGAGAAGTGCCCCCGGGGGGGGGGGCAGGGAGGGAGGACGAGGAGGGCGGGAGAGCAGCGGCAAGGATGTCGCTGGGCGCGGGCTCGCGGCCCGCACGGGGCGAGCGGAGCCTGCGCCTGAGCTAGAGCTGTTACGAGTCGGACGAGACGGAGGAGGAGGAGGAAGAGGAGGAGGAGGAGGAGGAGGAGGAGGAGGAGGAGGAGGAGGAGTCGGAGGCGGAGGGGAGGCGGAGGAGGAGGAGGAGGAGGAGGCAGTGAGGAGGAGGAGGAGGAGGAGGAGAGGAGGGAGGAGGAGGAGGAGGAGGTAGGAGGAGGAGGGTGAGGCGGAGGCGGAGGCGGCGGAGGAGGGGAGGAGGAGGAGGAGGAGGAGGAGGAGGAGGAGGAGGAGGCGGAGGAGGAGGAGGAGGAGGAGGAGGAGGAGAGGAGGAGGAGGAGGAGGAGGGGAGGAGGAGGAGGGGGAGGCGGAGGGCGGACGGCGGAGGAGGAGGCGGAGATGAGGGATGCTAAGGCGGAGGAGGAGGAGGAGGAGCGGAGGCGGGAGGAGGAGAGGAGGAGAGGAGGAGGAGGAGGGAGGAGGAGGAGGAGGGAGGAGGAGGAGGAGGGTGAAGGAGGAGGGGGGAAGGAGGAGGTAGAGGAGGAGGAGGAGGAGGAGGAGGAGGAGGAGGAGGAGGCGGAGGAGGAGAGGAGGAGGAGGAGAAGGAGGAGGAGGAGGAGGAAGGAGAGGGGGGGAGGAGGGGGAGGAGTAGGAGGGGGGAGGAGGAGGAGGAGGAGGGCGGAGAGGGGGAGGAGGCGGGGGGAGGAGGAGAGGAGGAGGAGGAGGAGGAGGAGGAGGAGGCGGAGGAGGAGGAGGAGGGAGGAGGAGGGAGGAGGAGGCGAGGGAGGAGGAGGAGGAGGAGGAGGAGGACGGAGGGAGGAGGGAGGAGGAGGAGGAGGAGGAGGAGGAGGAGGAGGAGGAGGCGGAGGAGGAGGAGGAGGAGGAGGAAGGAGGCAGGAGGAGGAGGAGGAGGAGAGGAGGAGGAGGAGGAGGAGGAGGAGGAGGAGCGGAGGAGGAGGAGGAGGAGGAGGAGGAGGAGGAGGAGGAGGAGGATGGAGGAGGCGGAGAGGGAGCAGGGGGAGGAGGAGGAGGAGGGAGGAGGAGGAGGAGGAGGTGGCGGAGGAGGAGGACCAGTGCAAACCCAGGACTCAACGGCGAAGTTGGAGTACACCCACCCTCCAAGCTCCCTCTTCTGAGGCCCCTCCAAGGATTCACTTCCACTGAGGTAACTTTCCGGTTGGGAGACAGCCGTGTTTTAAAATCTTGAAGCGTGCCAAAACACCTTTCTTGGGACGTCAACACCACGAATCATCGTAAATGTTGCGCCCTGACAGTTCTGAACCGTTCGAAGACACCATTTCTGGAAAGGAAGTCTCGGGCGAAGCGCCCGGCCCGCCCTTCCGACCGGCCTCGGGGTGCGACAGGAGGAGGAGAAGGAGAAGGAGAAGGAGGAGGAGGAGGAGGAGAAGGAGGAAAATGAGGAGGAGGAGAAGGAGGAGGAAGAGGAGGAGGGGGAGGGAAGAGGAGGAGGGGGGATACTAGAGCAGGAGGGGAGGTGGGAGGAGGAGGAGGAGGAGGAGAAGGACGAGGAGGAGGAGGATTAGGAAAACGAGGAGGATTAGGAAGAAGATGATGATGATGAGGAGGAGGAGGATTACAAGAAAGAGGAAAGACAGGAGGTTGAGGAGGGGGAGGAGGAGGAGGAGGAGGAGGAGTGAGGGAGGATTGAGCGAGGAGAAGGAAGAGTTGGAGGAGGAGGAGGAGGACCAGTGTCAATCTGAAACGCATCAACGATGTTGCAATACGCCCTCCCTCGAAGTTCCCCCC